GCAGGAATGGTGTCTGAAAATGAAAAAATAAAAAAAAGACTAATAGAGAGGCAGAAAACTTGTGGGGCTGACTGGCATTCCTCAAATGTGTAGACACTCACCGTTGCAACGGTATTTCAAGTCGGACCAGATGATATTCTCCTGGGAGAAGCAGAACACGCCCAGGCGGCCTCCTCTCATACTAGTGTCAATAATCACCCCTGTGTCTGCCACCAGGTCTGAACCTTCGAAAAAGCGAGCTCTGGATCACACACACACACACACACACACACACACACACACAAGGCAAAGACGTAAGTCATTTCACATGATATGTGACATTGACGTTAGGTATGTCTGTGTGCTGCTGTTTCCATCTGTACCTGATGTATCCAACCTGAGGCCTGTGCTGGAGGAACCAACGGTATGAAACCTTGTCCTTCCAGCCAATGTTCTTGGGGTCTTTCCACAGGAGGCGTACCTGTCCTGGGATGTCTCCTGTGTGCCAGAGGGAGTTCCTTAGATACTCACCAGGTCCTGTCTGAGATTTCACCATCTGTAACTCAAAGGTAAAAGAGTCGTAAGTGACAGTGATGGGTAATCACTGTTGTCCAGCCTGGTGTTGACCGATAATCCTCCACACCTTCAGCTGTATCCCTGGAGAACCCACAGCTCTGAAGGGTGCAGACTGCCAGTAGGTCTGTTCTGTCTGTTTCCACATCACCACATAGAAGGAGGAGGAGTCCTGATATCCAAAGATGAAGCCGGCATAGTCGTCGTCTATCACCGTGTTCACGTGGAAAGTTCCTTCGAAATCCACCCCGTTAAAAGCTACATAACCTGCATATGTGAGGAAAAACATGTAAGGAATGTCCTGAAGAAAATGAGAAAAGTAAAGCAGACTATGAGGTGAGAATGTTTTAGCATTCTGTATGTACCAACAGCAAGGCCAGGGTCAGAGTTCATGGTCTGTACTATTTCCATTCCCTGTGAACACAAAAAATAATTTTGAAAACTTGGCTCTGGTCAAACTGAAACAATGTTTTATTAATGATTTGAATATCTGGTTAAGTTAAAGGTGATAAATAAATGAACTGACAAACAACATGGGCAGATATTCAACAGATTCTAAAGTCCGAGGCTGCAGTGATTCCTGTAAAAAATGGTGTGACCAGCATTTTCAGTCTGTAAACAAAGAACTCCTCGGCACACCCCTCCTTGTCCATGACTTTCACATATCAAAAGAGTTTTACTTGATATCCAGCAAGCAATCATTACGATCATTTCTTCAGATTATTTTTAGCTCATTATTAATTATTGCATTTTTTCTTTAAAAAAATGTAGTTGTTGTAATTCCATCAATTCATTCCTACAGTGATAGCCTTTCGAAACTCCTGTGGAGCGAGAGTGGTGGTGCTTTCTCAACATACGACAGCAAGATTTGAACCTACGACCATTAATCTACAGGCTGCCCGTAACATGATAAAAAGAACAACAACATTAAGTGTAAAGGTGTGAGGCTTAATCCATATATTTAATTACAATACACTTAAAAACCACATTTGAAGTCATTTGGAGTATTTCAGACTATATTGGACTGGTGGCTCTGTTACTCACCTGGTTGAGGACGACCCAGTTGGGGTCAATCTGAGAATCTCCATGTGGGTCCAGCACCACGGTCTGATAGGCTCTGAAGTCGGTCAGGGTGACCTCAGCGTTCTCTGGACAGTGGTCAATTTTATCGATGATATTATCCATGTCAAAGTCTCCTTCACAGGCGTCTCCCACACCGTTGTCTGAAACAGAAGCTGAGCACTATCACTGCAGGTCACATTTCCCCCATGAATGTATATCTTCCCAAAGTATTCAATCCAGTGGTTTATGGCGTGACCCATAGAAGGGCCACATACAGAGATGACCACAACAACTATTTTACTGAGGTGACCTTTCTGCTGTAAGGCAAGAGCAACAACCACTATTCCATCATGTTAAAAGAACCTACGCTAACTATTATTATTAGAGGCTGGGCTATAATGAGATAAAAAAAAGGGAGAGTAATGAAATCTAAAGAACACTCTCCACACTGTAATTGAAAGAAGTAGAGCAGACAAGTCTGTATGATTCTGTGAATCTGTAGCAATTGTAAATCTTGTGAAAGTAAACAAATGCAGTAAAACAGCAGTTCCCCCTTCAACAAATAAATACATGACTCTCACCATCAGAGTCCACCTGGTCTGGGTTAATGACGAGTCTGCAGTTGTCATCATCGTCCGCTGCTCCATCACCATCATCATCTTCGTCACATTCATCTCCCTACAAAAGAAAAGGAAGTGATAAAACAGAAGTGTGTTTAACACATTTGGTGCATTTTCAGTTGGAAACAATAGACATGGAACAACCTCCCAAAAGATTTACCTTAAAAAAAAAACCTAGACATCTATTCATGCTGATTTGTCTTAAGAGGCTGCTATGTTTTAAATAGTTGTCTTTTGGAAGCTTTTATTTAATAATTGTTTTTAACAATATTTTATACTTTAGTGTTGTGTAGTATTTTATTGCATTTGCTAGCTCTGTCTTGAAAAGGAGAATTAAATGAAATGCAATTTAAAAAGGGTTATAGAAGTGTAATAAGAATAAGTGGGTTTTTTTTTTTAAATTATTGTATTTCTAACCACTCCATCCTTATCTGTGTCCAGCTGAGCAGAGTTTATAACTGAGGGACAGTTGTCCTTAGAGTCCTGGTGGCCATCACCATCACTAAAAAGAAAATGAAGCAAAAGTGTGACTGATAAATAGATTATAGGAATCATAAATTACAACATTATACACAGTGGACAGAGAGACTCCTACCTGTCTGTGTTGTCGTCACAGCTGTCACCTATGAGATCATTGTCCGAGTCAAACTGCAGGAACCAAACACAGATTGTGTTGATCACTGTGTGAACAGCTGCTGAATCTTGTTTTTTGTTTTATGTTTGGTGTGTTACCTGGTTTGGATCGGACTTATCAGGACAGCTGTCACAGACGTCTCCCACTCTGTCATAATCCCTGTCGTTCTGATCAGGGTTGAAAACTTTCTTGCAGTTGTCATGAATGTTCGCAATGCCTAGAAAAAAAACAAAACGCAAGCACTTGTGTGCTTTATTTTGAATTTCCATGTGAAAAAAGCATTATCAAAAATATAGGAGAGAAGCATAACTGCAAACAGCACAGTCTGTCAAGTGCATCAGCAGATGGCAGTGTTTGTGTAAGAGGAAGGTAAAATAGTTTCCAGTGGCCTTAAATGCCTGGCAGAAGCTTACCATGGAAAAATGCTTTGAGAGAGAAGACAGACATGACCAAGCGCTGAGCAATCCGGCCCTGAGAGTTAAAGACATAACCAAATGATCAAGAGTATGGGAGCAGTGCCAAACTGAATAACAGCAGCTGCAGCCAAGGTGAGTCTTAACATGCAGCACACGTAAGCGTTTAAAGGTAAACATGGCAGTATCACAAAAAAACAGTTCAGACTGTTTCCAGTGGAACAAATGAGAAATGATCCTCCATTTTGAAATGACAAACTCTATTGTTCCAGTTGGAAACACAATAACAGAGTGATTTATATTGTCTTTTTTTTTTAATGAAGCTTGACTTTTTTTCCCTGTAAACCGATGATCTCACTGGCACAGGATGCAATGTGAATTGGAGACAGAATAAAAGGCATGAAGGATGTTTTCACCAGGCAAAAGTTTTGCCAGTGGAGTCTGCCAGTTCTGATCTGTCTGGTCCAGACAGGCTGTGGTCTGGATTACCTCTAATTGATGTCATTAAAGTAGTAATGGTCCAGTTACTAACCCTCTAATCGTTATGCCCGTGCCATTCTTTTAGCTACAGCGACTAATAACAAAAGGTAACATTTTTAGCTTCAAGTCCCTCTAATTAGCAAACTATAAACATATAATGACTATTAGCCATCCATCCCAAACTACATTATCCTGTTAAGAGCCACAGGGGGAGCTGGAGCTAATTCCAGATGACATCCAGTCACATAATGAGACAAACAACAATTCACACACACATTTACAGCTATGGTCAATATAGAGTCACCGCTTAAACCAATCTTCAGTCTGCTTGGGTCTGAACTGTGGGAAAACCTAATAACAATGCTGAAAAATTATACACACATGATGCAGGTTGGGCATGCAAAATCCACACAAAAATCTACCATTTAAACTGGGATGATAGTGAGCGACCTTCTTACAGTGAAGCTACGACATTATCCTCTGCTCCACCTTGTGGTTTTTGAATGTCAAACACCAGGGTTGAAAAATCCTGGGTTTTTAAACTTGGAAAGTCATCAATGAGATTAATTTGAATTGTCTTCATCTTCTACAGTTAAATCCATCCCACGGTCACAAGGGGAGCTAATCTCCACAGCCAACGAGGAAGGGCTACACCCTGGACAGTTCACCGCTACATCATACAGGTATATACTGCATAGAGATAAACAACCATTCACATTCATTCACATCTATGTTCTACTATTTGGTTTGGTCCATTCAACAGCTTGACTTCATATTAAATTTAGAATTCTACCTGAATTTTTATTCAGTTAATGAATTTGCAGCCATCTCTAAGGCGAAGACTTCTACTTACCGTCCCCGTCCATGTCTTCATCACATTCATCTCCTACTCCGTCCTTATCTACATCTTTCTGTAAGGGATTGTCTATTGTTTTGCAGTTGTCACATGCATCACCGTGCAGGTCCTTATCACTGTTCTTCTGGTCAAAGTTAGGGACGAGCCAGCAGTTATCCTGTCACAGAGAACGAGAGTTTACTGTATGGTTCATGAACAGGTGACCTCCTGATCACACATCATTAATGATCACCTACATTCTCATTACTGATGCCGTCATTGTCAGCATCCTCATCACAGGAGTCACCTATACCATCTCTGTCTGCGTCCTCCTGTCCAGAGTTTGGTACATACAGACAGTTGTCCTGAAAACACAAAGAAAAAACACACAGAAAAGGAATGAGCACATGAGAAAAGGTGAAAAATGTTTTCTGGGTCAGTGATGTCCAACCACTAAACAACCACATGAGAGTCCTGCAATCTCATCAAGATCATCAGGTGTGCCCGGAGCAATTACCCATTTTAGCTTATTTAGTCATAAAATTGTTTTATTCATTTATTTACTGCATAATATCTGACTTCATATGCACCAGCAAAAGGCAGGGCAACAAAGTACCCTTCCAATAGGTGGCAGCAGATGGCTATAAACAAGTGTCACATTTGGTGAATAAGGTGCACGTTTGAGTCATCGACATGGGGGAAAGACAAGTACCTTTCTACAGCTGCTGTCTCTGCAGTGGAGATGTTCGTCTGGATATCCATCGATATCTGTGTCCTTCCCACAGAAATAACCATTTCCCGTCCAACCAACGCCACACTGAACGACACAGACCCAAACACATGACAGCGTTAACGTTCATCATATAAGCATTAGAAATATAAACTGCAGAATCCTTTCAGTTCTTTACCAAACAGCCAATGCTGCCGTCTCGCTCAATGACACAGTTAGCGCTGATGTGACAGGGACTGATTTTACCGTTGGGGCAAAGTTTAGTACCATGACAGCCTTTCACCTGGTCACCTGTGAAGCCAGTTTTACACTCACCGCAGTAGAAGGAACCCTGGTTAGAACAGTTCACAGTCAGACATGTGCTGAAGTAGACTGCAATAGTCATAATAAAAACATGCAGTGGTCTGACCATGGTGTTGTAGCAGTGGGAGTTGGCCGTACAACTTCCGTTCTCAGGTGGATCCTGACACTCATCTATATCCTTACACACCTGCCAGGAACAGCAGATAAACAATCAGGCCTTAATGCAGCACAACATTTTTTGTTATTTTTGTGGATGTACCTGTTTGTGTGACTTGGCATAGGACACGCCCACTCCATTAATCAGAGGTCCCGTGAATCCCAGAGGACATTTCTCACAGTAGAAACCAGGGGCAGTGTTCACACAGCGGACACCAGTGTAACACGGTTTAAACTGGCACTAAAACCCACACAGAACAGATAAGAACTACAATTTTTTAACTGTATTTATTTATCAGATAGACAAAAAATGTCTGTAAATAAACATTATCTGCACCTCATTGACATCATCACAGCGAACTCCATCTCCTGTATAGCCATCAGGACAGGGGGCACAGTGGAGATCCCCTGACTCTGTACGGATGCACATGTCCTGTCTGAAGCAGGTTCCTGGGAGACACTCGGTTTGAGGCTGAGCATGCATGACAAACTGTTCTGAAGGGGAAACTGGCTCTTGACCTTTTTTTGGATCTTGTCCTGGATCTTGTCCTGGAGTATGTTCTGGATCCTTTCCTGGACTTCGTCCTGGGTCTCGTCCTGGAGTATGTCCTGGACCTTGTCCTGGGTCTCGTCCTGGATTTTGTCCTGGACCTTGTCCTGGGTCTCGTCCTGGACTTGGGCCTAGATCTGGATCTGGACTTCCATTTGGATGAGAGTTGGTAGGGCTACCTCCCAGATCTGAGGCTACACATGAACAGATCTATTGTCACACTGTTGAAAACTCACCTCCTTTTAAATACACTGAATAAGTTGACAGCTTGTCATTTCCCTTACCACAGGGCAGGCACTCAACGATGGTGTTCCTCAGTAAAGTTGTGTCTTTAATCTGAAACAGCATAAAGATATATGTATGTTTACATGGGATTTAATTTGAAGTCAAACATCATCATTTACTTTGTTATATTAATAATGTTTATCTAAGTTGACCTAGAACTTTTTGACTTTGGACAACATTCCCAGCTGCGTAAACAAAAACTGTTCTTCTATCTGATGCTCATCAATGTTTTTTGTTCTCCAACATCTGATGCTGAGTGTCTATTATGTTGAATCACTGTCTGTAATTTTAAAAGTGTGTTTCCATATAGATAATTTAATTTAAAGCAACCATTTGGAAAATTAATTAACCATTACCTGCTGGTTCAATATCTCCTTCATCTCAGCAATCATGTTCTTCAACTCCTGCATGGTGACCTGGTTCTGCAACAGATCTGCTCTCTGGATATCTGTAGAATTTCAAGAATCAAAATGATCTTGATGAAAAAGTCTCCAGTGTGCTAAAACTGCTGTATGATATACATACATACATATATATATATATACACACACACACACACACATATATATATATATATATGTGTGTGTGTGTGTGTATATATATATACACACACACACACACATATATATATATATATGCAGAGAGGCCATGACATGGCACTATTTGTGTGTGTGTGTTCAGTCAATCTTTGCTCACCCAGCAGTTGCAGAGATTGACCCTGACCCACGCTGCAGTCCTGGAGAGTTGCCACATTGTCTATAGTGTCCCCAGTCACCAGCTTGAGGTCCGTCAGCTCGTCCTGTCAGAATAAAAACAGAAAGATCAAAAAGCAAATTAGCACCTAGTGTGAACAGTATGAGTGCCTTTATTTTCTTTCATATCACCAGAAAGTGATAAAACCTTTTCTTCACCTGTCCATTTGACTTCAGGGTCCTTAGCCCCACCTTGTTGGAGCCGCTCGGCAGCAACCCTAACGCAGTAGGAAAATCCTCCACAGTGTGTGCCAGTGTGCACTCAATATAGATGTTCAGTCGAGGTGGACCCCGTTGCAGCCCACTCGCATGTAGCATCACATGGTGTTCTTGACCATTGGCCAGGGTGGGGTGGTTGAAAGAGATGGTGGCAAATCTGCCATCACTTCTTTGGTAACGGACACTGACTGTGGAGGGAGAGGAGGAGAAGTTAGACACTTGACTGAGGCTGAGAACAGTAGCAGGTAAAATACCTGGTAACTCACTTTTGTTTGGTTTGTTCATCACACTAAGGTCCAGGTACTTGGTATTGTCTTTGGGGTTGATGATACTGAACAAAGATGCTGGAGTCTTGTTACGGAGCTTGAAGGAAGAGAGAAGGAAAATCTCATTTTCCCCATTGGTCTTCAGCTGTCCCTGAAGGAGTTCTGGCAGGCAGTCTGGAGACTCCAGCAGGTCATACACTTAACAGAACAGAGAACATTCAGATACAGTTTTTATTACTTTTGATGAACTATTGCACAAACAGACTTTTCATCTCATGTTTACATCCTGGACATGGATGCTATAAAAGCGCCAATGCTTATTATACCTTATATTTTAGTCTTTTTACAAAGCAGCCAGTTCACTAACACACTACTATTAAATCAACACTATCTGTTGTTAAACACATCTCTCATTAAACTCCTCGTGACTTTTTATGATGTTGGTACTTAATGGGCTGCTGTCAAATTGCTGAAAAAGCTATAGTAATATAATTTACGAGGGAGGTTAGCTGTTTGTCTCAAATACCACTCTCCTTAAGAATGGCATACACAAGCCTTATGTCCACTTCCATGGCAACAGGGCGGGGCCACTTGCCAGCTACAAATACTGAAGAATGGCAACTCCCTGGTTGAGGCTTTGAGAACTGACATAGGCAGGCAAAGGGATGGTCGTGGCTTCACTATAACAAACACTGTTTAAACTCATGCTTCCACATTCATTCATAAATCAGTCAATTCCCTCAGGAATTACTCATTTATGAAGGTTGTTTTGGTAGATTTTAGCACCGATCTGAAAGTTAATGTGGAATAAATTACTGCACAAATTGGGTAAAAAGCTCTTTAGTCATTGACAGAAGCACTTCAGCTTATTAATACAATCACCATTGTCCATTAGCAGTAGCTGCACTGTCTATTTGTTTGGCTGGTTGACCCGGTGATGTCAGATTGATGTTTTGGTAACAGGGTTTCTCTATTTCTGTTTCTAAAGGTTCCACTTTAATCAATATATATTATATATATATATATATATATATATATATATATATATATACACACA